TAGGGGATGGGCTGGGGGATGGGGGAGGGGAATGGGCTGGGGGATGGGCTGGGGGATGGGGGAGGGGCTGGAGCAGACATTATAGATAGATAGAATGTACTGTTAATATAAAATGGTGGTGATCTCCAGACTTCTACTTGTTAATTGTAAACTAGTTATAGAGCTATCATATATTTTTATACATGTTCTAATACAACCAATTGATTATACACACCTTTCTAAGTAACTGGTGGTGAAATGTATTGGATAACTATAAGAATATATGTTATTTTATTTTTCACTGTTACCAAAATGGTAGGCAGAGATGGAAAACTTCAGCTGATTGACTGAATTCAGCATTTTTAATGCTGAGAAAACGGAATAAATACAATTCAGCATTTTTAATGCTGAGAAAACGGAATAAATACAATTCAGCATTTTGAATGCTGAGAAAACGGAATAAATACAATTCAGCCTTTTTTTATCTTTAAGTAGGAAGATACATTGAAATCTACTGAAAGCTGTATGTCATTACCGATGATATGTGTTTCCTTTTTAGCTGAAAAAAGTCTGTTTTATCCAAGCTAAGAGTGAATCATGCTAAGTGTGTTATATTCTCAGAATTAAGGAAAAATCAGCAACATTTTTCCAAATGAAAACGTTTGTTCTTTTTTTCCTTAATTCATACACAGAATTTCTACAAAAAGTGTGCTATTGTCCCAAAATTAGGGATAACCAGCAATAATTTACCAATTTTTATGAAAATATTTCTACAATTTTTCCAAATTCATATACCAAATTGATACTAAATGTGTAATATTTTCTGAAAATTAAGGAAAAATTAGCAACATTTTTCCAAATGAAAACGTTTGTTCTTTTTTTCCCTAATTCATACACAGAATTTCTACAAAAAGTGTGCTATTGTCCCAAAATTAGGGATAACCAGCAATAATTTACCAATTTTTATGAAAATATTTCTACAATTTTTCCAAATTCATATACCAAATTGATACTAAATGTGTAATATTTTCTGAAAATTAAGGAAAAATTAGCAACATTGCAGCAATTTTTATGAAAATATTTCATTTTCCCCAAAAAATTATATACCAAATCTATAGAGAAAAGACAGCTATAACATTTGGAACAAGCACTGAATGCAAATTCCATTAGACTTATGATGGAAAAGAAAGAAATGTTTACGTATGTTATTAAACAAATGTGGATGATTTAAGCCTACGAGGATTGATTTGACTTATATACACTTTTCTCTGTTCCTATAATACCATGATGACAAGTTAAAGGATTGGAATCTGTTTATACACTGTCTTCAAATTTGAAATTTGTTTCTTTATTGTCACAATTCTTCTGTACATCACCACTTGAGTTATTGAAAAAAAATGCCATCTCATTTATAATGATTGTCTCACATAATTCAAATCAGAAAGACTTCCAAAGTTAGTTTATTAATGTATCACAGTCTGGTGGTACATTGTCCAGCTGGTCTTCAGATAATATCACTACAACAACCACACAACAATGACGGGCCCTTCCCGAGTTCATTCCGTTTATCTTCCAACCGATGGGATCCAATTTATCTGATCTGTAATAAGCAGACATCTTTATTGAAAAATATGAAATATTTTGTAATAAAATGATTTCAAAGAAGTAATATTTCTTGCAGTATTTTGAATGAAAAACATGACATAGCCTTACATTATGAGCTGTGTAGATTACAAGATAGGGACTTATAGAAGGCATATCTGATAGCTATCAAGCTGATCGCAGGGGTAATTACTATCTGCAGTAAATTTTTATTTTCTCTCGTTCAGATCTTAATTGAGAGTGGGAGTTTCTTAAAACCTTTGAGGAAGTGGTATAGCACATACATTGAATGTTTTTATCAGGAAAACAGACTTCCACAGATTTTCGTCAAATTTTAACCACATATAATACTGTTTGTATATTCATGAGACATTAAAGATTTTGAAAATTATTGAGTTTTATTTTTTTTTATGATTTTGGATGTACAGATTCTTTGAAAGGTAGGAAATAATGAAAGTGTTTTGTGTCATAGAAATATTTTGGGATTTAAAAAAAAAAAGTGATAACCATAACCTTAAAGACTTTGTCGCAAAAGATCAGAAATTTCTTGCGTTACTTTTAAAAGTTACATTAACTTCTTAACACATCCTGAACTTATGAATCCTGATACAGACTTTGACAACATGTATTGTGATAGTTACACTGCTTTGTTCAGTATTAGAGGGAAATGTTGCACTTTTTGATGCCAAGGATAAAGGGAATCTGGGTTTCCAGACTGAATACATATTATGTACTATTTGTATGCTCAGTGTGTTTCAAACTTTTCAATTTAACAAGTAAATTTTGTATGAGTTTGGAGTCGCTGTGGTTTGATGTGTACACAAAATTCTAGTCCCAGTGGATTTGATTGCCAGCCTTCACAGGACTTCATGAATACATTAATATCAGCCAGTAGATTATCTGAAAAGTTCCCTTCTCTGTGCACATACAAGTGCATGTTTAATTTTGAATTTTAAGAAAGAAACTAATTTTCGCTTTGTAATTTCCTGAAAGGATACTTAACTTTGAAAAAGCTTTGAAGTACATTTGCACAACAATCCCCATGTTTGAATATTTGTGAAATGGCAACATTTGTTGATGAAGTTAGAGCTGTAGTAATTTACCTTCAGCTTGTTTAACAAAATACGGGCTAAATTCTTCCACTTAGTGTTACTTTCAGGCTAAATTCTTCCACTTAGTGTTACTTCCAAGCTGTTCAGTCAGCTGATTTAGCGATATAAGAAAATATTGTCTTCATATTCTCTAAGGTTGTAAAAAGAATATGAAAAATATTAGGAGCATTTCTATTTACAGCATTAAGGAGGAGGTGGATTGGATGTAGCGTGACTTTCTTCTCCTTTGGGTGAGGCATGACATTCACAACTAGTGATCTTTCAAATAACCTCTACATTAATCCTTGTCAAATTGTTCTACATAAGCAATGACCTTGACAGCAAATTTGTACTGTTAATGTGGTGACCCTAACAACAAATTTGTACTGTGTATGTTGTGACCCTGACAACAGGTTGGTTCTGTATGTTGTGACTTTGAACTACAGATTGGTACTGTGTCTATGATGACAATGGCTGGTTTGTACTGTATATGTTGTGACCCTGACAACAGGTTGGTTCTGTATGTTGTGACTTTGAACTACAGATTGGTACTGTGTCTATGATGACATTGGCTGGTTTGTACTGTATATGTTGTGACCCTGACAACAGGTTGGTTCTGTATGTTGTGACTTTGAACTACAGATTGGTACTGTGTCTATGATGACATTGGCTGGTTTGTACTGTATATGTTGTGACCCTGACAACAGGTTGGTTCTGTAAGTTGTGACTTTGAACTACAGATTGGTACTGTGTCTATGATGACATTGGCAGGTTTGTACTGTATATGTGGTGACCATGACTACAAAATTAATACTTTATATGTGGTGATCTTGACTCCAGGTAAGTAGTGTATATGTGTGTACCTTGACTACAGAGTGCTACTTAATATGCAGTGACCTTGACTCCAGATAGGTACTGTATATACGGTGACCTTGATACTTTATCGGTTGTACTGCCTTAAGTGTTGGTATTTCCCAGGAGAGAAAATGAATGCATGTCTGCTGGTCATAATACTCTACTACCAGCCTACTGATAGTGAATTTGTTATCAGTAGCCTTTCATTCCAATTCTCTGAACATCACTGCTATAGCTTGCTACTTCTTGTTCTATTTCTTTTACTAATTATTGAGTGATTTGGAGTTTGTTTGTAGGAACTAAGGAAGGTGTAGTAGTGTTGGTTTGTAAAATGGATGCTCTCCCTCTCCTCACTCCACTGTTATATGAATGGTATTACTGTAGGTGATCTGTTATGTGAATGGTATTACTGTAGGTGATCTGTTATGTGAATGGTATTACTATAGGTGATCTGTTATGTGAATGGTACTACTGTAGGTGACCTGTTATGTGAATGGTACTACTGTAGATGACCTGTTATGTGAATGGTATTACTGTAGGTGATCTGTTATGTGAATGGTATTACTGTGGTGATCTGTTATGTGAATGGTATTACTGTGATGATCTGTTATGTGAATGGTATTACTGTAGGTGACCTGTTATGTGAATGCTATTACTGTAGGTGATCTGTTATGTGAATGGTATTACTGTAGGTGATCTGTTATGTGAATGGTATTACTGTAGGTGACCTGTTATGTGAATGGTATTACTGTAGGTGATCTGTTATGTGAATGGTATTACTGTAGGTGATCTGTTATGTGAATGGTATTACTGTAGGTGATCTGTTATGTGAATGGTATTACTGTGATGATCTGTTATGTGAATGGTATTACTGTAGGTGATCTGTTATGTGAATGGTATTACTGTGGTGATCTGTTATGCATACTTGCCAACTTTTTGAAATTCTCATGGGGGAGAAAAGTACGTGAACGACATTTTCAACTCGGTCGCTCAGTTTCGCGTTATCAGGAATAACCACATCAACATGAATTTGCATAATCCAGTTCTGTTTTATCCTGCAATAAGCCCATGCCATATAATAAGCCCATCCATGTCTTTTTCAGAGATTTAAAAATTCTCTGCCCTACATAAACTATCCCTGCATTCTGCAACAAGCTCACCCCCACATATTGTTCAATATCACTAAACACTGGCTTCCTGGGCTTATTGCAGGGTAAATACAGTAAACGTTCCAATCAAAGCATTTGAGATCACTCTAGTATAGACCTACAGAAATAACAACATTTGATGTTTTAGCTATTTGTTTCATTTAACAAATTTGATCAATTCTTCTACAACAGAATTGAGAAATTAATGTGATTTATTTGCATCAAATGTTGTTTCTTTCTGATGGAAAATTTTAAATAACCAGACAAGTGCAATTGGTTTTTATGTTTTTAATAATCAAATCTTGCATTGATAATGGATGCTTTTTTGTAGAAATAAATTATATCAAAATAGAGGTCTCACTCTGACTCTGAACACAATTCCATAAAGAAAAAAACCAATCACAACAACCTCACAATATAATCTTGCATCCAAACCATTAGAAACATGTCACTAATTTAAATAATTTAATTTTATCGCATAGAAACTCAGTCTAATCTCTGAAGATAGAGGGGGAACATGACAGTTCCTTATTGTAGCTAACACATGTGGATTTCGCGGTCGCTAAAGTCGTTGTCGATGGCTTATAATTGTAGCAGTCCTCATCCCTGTTCAGCTTGCAGGTCAGTAAAGCTGACAAAGTTGACCGGTCTAAAAGTGATCTTTGGTCCGTTTGTACCTTCCGTAGCACTGAAAACACTCGTTCACAGTCAGCGTTGCTGTTCGGCAGGGTACACAATGATGTGGCCAGTTTGTATAAAATGGGGAATCGCATGGACCTGGTTACTGCAGTCTTACAGCTGGCAATCCCTCCCCAGAAACTGTCTACAGGTGTTTTCCCATCCTCCCACTTTGGCAAGTCAGCATCCGGGCATAACTGAAATTCTCTATATTCCTCCTCAAGGGTGCCAAGTTGACCATCCTGAATGACAGAAGGAAATCTCTTCCCTATCTCCACAACATCTGCTGGATTTACATGATCCCGTGAGGAAGGCACAAGAAACTGAAGTTTGTTGATGACTGGGTCATGAAATGGGAATTTCTTCACCATCTTGTCCACAGCTGCTATGTAAAATCTCCTCACACTGCTGAAGAACCTTGCTGTGACTCCTTGAGTGTCTTCATCATGCTCACTTAGGTAAGCCCGAGTGCAAAGTCCAACAGCTAGGTATGGATCTTTCAGATGAACAGTGGTGTCTCTGTAAGGTACGGCTGTCACATCCTCTGCTTCCCTTATCGTCTTCGCCAAGACAAACTTTCCAAGCAGCTTCCTCAAGAGTTGTTGCATCTCCTTTCCCAGGTATGGAAGACGAGTGTCATCTGCCTGGAACATGGTGTTGAATTCCACAAGGAAGGGGAGAATAAATTGCAGGAAATGGAAGTAGAGCAACATCTCAGAGTTAGACAACAGGTCAGCACATCTCTTGACACGTCCAGGCTTCTCCACATCTTCGTGAGATAAGAAGTACGACTTCAGGGCTGGCCAATGATGGAGAGTTCGCTCAACTGCTCTCTGAAGACTAAGCCATCTGGTTGAACAGTGCTTGAGGATCTTGGCTGGCTCAATATTAAGGAAGTCCAGGAATTCCTTATATTCTTCTTTGCGCTTGGCACTATGATGAAAGTGGTAGAAGATGTCGATCAGAAGGTCCTCAACAGGCAATGGTATGGTTTTAACAGCTGCCACAGTACACAAATTGGCCAAATGGCACACACACCCCAAGTCAAATATATCTGGTTGCACCTCCCGAATGCGACTGATGACGGAGTTATGACGTCCTGTCATCACACTGCAGTTGTCTGACATGAAGCTGATGCAGTTTCTCCATGGTATGTTGTAATCCGTCAGGACCTGATTGAGGTGATGAAAGATGTTCTGTCCAGTTCCAATGTTACATATCGGCAGGGCAAGAAACTTTGTTGTGGCAAGTTTGTCGAAGTATCGCACAAGAATGGCTAAACTCTTCTCACCGTTGTGGTCATTGCTTTCATCACAGCTCAGTGAAAATGGATGGCTCTGGCAGTGCTCTACAACCTCTTCTTTCAAGACCGGGGCAAGTGACCTCTTGATGATCTGTGTTGTCTTGGTCCTTCCACAATGAAACTTCTGTGCAATTTTACTGTCTGGAAACATCTGCTTACATAGCTTTGTGAAGTGGTCAGCGGTGTTGAAGGACAGGTTGTGTTCACAGATGAAGTTGGCAAAGAGGCATTCAGCAGTGATAACAGCTTGATCATCAGTCTGTTTTGTGAAGAAGGATGGCAAATTTTGGAGGTATTCTCTGCCTTTTCATTGGACTTGTGCATTGCTGTTGTTGCGTGCTTTTTGACATCATTCTTCCCTCCATGGCTGACACTAAAATTTCTTCTGCATACCTGGATAAAAATAAAAAAATATTGTCTAGTCAATTATTATTAATTGTTTAAATTATTTTTTATTGATTTTTTTTTTCAAATAATTCAAATCTTTAACATAATTCACAAAACCGTGTATTGACAAATCTAAATATTTCAATACCGTCTGTCACAGAAATAAATGAAAGAAAAATATAAGTGTCTTTCTGTGGTAATAAAGAAGGTAATCTTGGCCTTTTTGCTTACATTCTTATATAATCTCTGATTTCACATAAGATCTCGTTATTTAAACGTAGGCCGTAGAATAATTTTAACGATGCATTCGCAGAACAAAATGCAGAAAACAATATAAGAAAACATCGTTACTTAACGACTTTATCGCCTATGTATGGTCGACTTTTAACGTAAAATCAATTTAATCCATGCATACAAGCCTAAACGTAAACAAATATCGCATTACAGTATGAACTCTCAACTTTGACCGTACGTGCGAGGTCGGAGCAGGACAGGTGAATCAAGCGATCTTACCTTACAAAAAGCATTTGTCTGGCTTGTCGAACTTTTCCCAACCCATGGAAATTCCTGTTCCCACGATAATTGGTACTTGGTGTCATATTTTCCACGTTTAGGACTGGGTTTTGGCGGAGAAAGGACCATGATAAATTTCCAAGTTCTCAAAATGGCGGAAGCGTGGGTGAAGCCAAACTCACGAAGAAACGATCAGTCTGTTTTCTGATTGGTTAAAAATCGTATGACGTCATCAGGAACTCCAAGTTGATTCTTATTGGTTAGAATCGGGAGTTTTCTCAAAGAAGCGGGAGGGATTCCCCAAAATCGGGAGATATCGCTGTTTTAAGACTCACGATCGGGAGTCGGGAGACGGGGTGAAAAATCGGGAGGCTCCCGCCTAAATCGGGAGGGTTGACAACTATGGTTATGTGAATGGTATTACTGTAGGTGACCTGTTATGTGAATGGTATTACTGTAGGTGACCTGTTATGTGAATGGTATTACTGTAGGTGATCTGTTATGTGAATGGTATTACTGTGATGATCTGTTATGTGAATGGTATTACTGTAGGTGATCTGTTATGTGAATGGTATTACTGTAGGTGATCTGTTATGTGAATGGTATTACTGTGGTGATCTGTTATGTGAATGGTATTACTGTGATGATCTGTGATGTGAATGGTATTACTGTAGGTGACCTGTTATGTGAATGCTATTACTGTAGGTGATCTGTTATGTGAATGGTATTACTGTGATGATCTGTTATGTGAATGGTATTACTGTAGGTGACCTGTTATGTGAATGGTATTACTGTAGGTGACCTGTTATGTGAATGGTATTACTGTAGGTGATCTGTTATGTGAATGGTATTACTGTAGGTGATCTGTTATGTGAATGGTATTACTGTGATGATCTGTTGTGTGAATGGTATTACCGTAGGTGATCTGTTATGTGAATGGTATTACTATAGGTGATCTGTGAAGAATACATCAACCGTTTTTCTTTTACAGAATTATTGCCCTTTGTTAAAATTTGGTGTCAAATAAAATAAATTTTTGGGAGGATTCATCGATTTCACTGAATCTCTTATAATTATTACAAGCTAGTTGTTCATGAGTTTTTGTATATTAGTGTATTAAAAATGTAGTCTTGTCTAAGAAATGATACCATTTTCATCTGATTATCCAAAAGAAAGGTCAAGGGATCTGATGACATGTGATACAGTGGTTGTTATTAAACAGAACAAAAACAAAACACCTGCATGCTGGCAAACAATTTTGGTACTATAAATGATTTTGTATCACAAGAGTAAAAGCAGAGCTTTGAACCCCTAGTCATAACTAAGTTCCTTGTTTAATTTTTCGACTGTTTACTTCAGAGTACAGTAGCTAAATGATAAATAATCCGGTAGTAGATTGCTACAAAAGAAAAAAGTAGTCAATAAATTTCTGTAGTAACTTTCAGGCCATTAAGATGCTTTGCAATACTGACTCTTTCAAAAGCCTTTATGTTCTAGTATATGATGTTTTCAACCAAATGGCAACCTAGACAGACAGAGTGCATTGGAATTTAAGAGAGTATTTCAGCAAGTAAACCCTGTCCCATCTGATTTAGTCAATATATACTCAGCTCAGTTGTTGTATAGTAGCTCAGGCATTATCATGAAAATTAGTATGGTTGTATAATAACTTGATTATTCTCATTTCTTCCAATTTTTTTCTGATGGTGAGGTTTCCGACATGCTTCTCAAAAATTACTTGATGAAATTAACGACACTTTACATGAGTGTTCGTGTATGAGAGGAGCTTTTTTCTTTTTTTGACCAGTCAACCATGGCCTTATTGTCAAAGTTGGGCCAAATTTTGATGTCTAGGTGTAATTTTACACCAGAAATACAGTTTGGTTTATGATTTGACAAGTTGGCTCCTACATAGTGGTTGAATTTTTGATATTATCCGATTTCCATTAAAATTGGTATCAACATGTGGTTTTCCACCAGAAACAAAATGGTGACATTTGGTTTCTTATTGGACAAGATGGCTACCACATAGTTGCTTCTGATTGGGTGAAATATAGATATTGTTGGACCACCAGTAACACAATAATGGATCCCATTTTCTCATTTAACAAAATAAGGGTCGATCTTCTGATTGGTTGAAATTTCCTTATCGTCTGATTATTTATGAATATCTTAACGTAGGTGTTGTCTGAGGCGACAAATACAATGCTGATCTTTGTTTTCTTATTGGACAAAATTATTGCCCTACACAGATAACTAATATGGTGAAATTCAAGTATTGTTCAGTTTTTATCACATTTCTGATCAATCTTGATTTAACACTATGTACATCAATTACAACTGCAAGGTGTTTTGGGAGACATATGTAACAGTCCCCGTTACAATTAACACTTGTTGATCTGTTACAGTGCAGGTGAGGTGTGGTTGAGTATTCAAGTTAACCGAGGCTCATGGTGACCTATTGTGATTTTCTTTTGTCATGTGTCATTAGCATCTTTGGCTTCTTCTGGAAAACTAGTCAACTGATTTCAATTAAATTTTGCAGAAACCCTCCATGGCCAAAGGTGAATTATATGGTTCCCACCCCTGTGCGACTGGAGGGGAAGGATAAAAACGAGTCTCATTGACTCAAATTTCAAAGATTTTTTTCACCAACCAGATATGAAATATTCAAGATGTTTGCTATGGTTGGCATAAAAAATGTTGTGAATGAAATTTTCAATATGTTTACTGTAGTTTACAAAGGAAAATTAGATTTTTGAACATGTTTTGTTTATTTTTCATGGGGAATAATTCTAACTTGTTCAGAACAACATAAAATCTCAGTTTGATGCCATGCACACAGTGACAATGAATGACCCAGGAGTTGATGAGTGGGATCAAAAGGGGTAAATTTCAAATTTTTTCTTCAACATCCAGATATGGTAGAATCAAATGATCTTGCATGGGCGAATGTTAAGGTGCTTTACTGAAAAAATTAGTGATCCCAAGGTCTTACATTTCCCGTTGGGGAGAGGGTTAAGTTAATTCACTTTGTATAGAAAATTTATGTTTTTGAACATTATCGTATGATGATACCTTGATGGTACGTGTATATTGACACTGGCTAACCCCCTGTGGGTCGTGATATTGGTAAGGTTGACTCATATTTAAACAATTTTCTGCAGAAGTTTCAGAAAAAGTAGAATCAAATATGGTTAGAAGGGCCATAAGGCTTAACCAAAATAGCGAATTCCATGGCCCCAAGGTCATGTATTTCCCTGTGAGTACATCTAATGATAGGTTTTGCAGGAAAGCTGAATTTTTGAGTTGGTTAAAATCCTTAACATGGAAGGTCAATTAATATTAAGCAAATTTTACACTAACGTCTTTCTTTGTTAACAAGATGATTTTTATGATTTTTGTTACAAGAACAATAGTGTTTATAGGACTCTGGTGACGGTTAAGGCCCCGGGGACCCTTTTTTGGTTTATGTTGGCCCTGAAATTGACTTGTAACACTGATATAACAAAGCTATGTAACTTTAAATATCTGTAATGATAATGGTGTCAGTGAATTATGTATGGTGCTGTTTAAGTGCCTGATCAGTGATAGTATACTCCCTTGTGTATCAGCTGATAGCTTGTAATGTCCCCTTTAACGGAATTTCTCCACTAGACTGTAGCCTCATTAAAAATGAAACTATCAGTATGTGTTGGACTGTGTTTAGGGATGCATGGACAGACTTACAATACTCAGAAAGATCAAAACATTACTGATAACCTCTTTTTTATCGCCAGAAAATCATACTTACAGGTTGTCATGAAAGATTAAATTGCTAATGTTGCCAATTTTTTTCGGCCTACTGAGTCATGTGTCATCATGTGAAGTTGTCTGTCAATATTTTCACATTTCTTGCTTCTGGAAAAGCGCAGCAGTGATTTCAATA